CCCCCCCCCCCCCCCGCTCCCTTGCCCTCCCCTCCTCTCTGCTCTTTTCTCACCATGCCCGACATCCCCCTGACGCCTGCCTCGCGCCCTTCTCGCTACTTTGCTCCCCCGGTTCCGCGCCCCCCGCAGGGCTCTCCTGCGTGCTGTCAACATCGACGGCGCCAAGGTCATCAACGAGGCCTGCAAGCAGGCCGGCGTCGAGGTGCGTTGCAATATCGGTCTCTGCCCCTGTGATGGCCCTGAGGCGGCCCGGGCGGAGATGCCGGGAAAGGAGGCGCCAAAGCCACCCCCTTGACTAACCTGCCCTGCCTCCTTCCTCTCCCCTCTTCCTGCACGTCTGTCTCTTCCCCGTTGCCTCTCTGTCCCGCCCGCCCGCCCGCCCGCCCGTCCCCCCCCCCCACCCCCCCTGCCCCGCCCTCCTCGCTGGCCGCGGGCGATCGGCCGACAGCGTCTCGTCCTCACCTCCAGCTGCTCGGTCCTCTGGTCTGGCGACAACCTCCTGAACGCCGATGAGACCTTCCCCTACGCCCACTCGCCCTTCGACCCGTACACCGCCACCAAGATCGAGCAGGAGCGCATCACCCTGGCCGCCAACGACCCGGCTGGCAAGTTCCGCACCGCGGCCATCCGCCCGCACACCATCTACGGCCCGCGCGACAAGATCTTCTCGTCCATGGCCCAGCGCGCCCACGACAACAACCTGAAGTTCGCCATCGGGTGCGTTGTGCCTCTTCCCTGCTGTGGCTCTCTGCCTCCCCGCCCCCGCCCTTGCTCCCGGGCGCTGACCCTCCGCCCTCGACCCCCCCCTCCCCCCCGTCCCCAGTAACGGCAAGAACCTCGTCGACTTCACCTTCGTGTCGAACGTCGTCTACGGCCACTTCCTGGCCACCGAGCACCTGGAGCGCGGTGGCATTGCCTGCGGCAAGGTGCGTGTCCCCCGTCTCCATGCCCGCCCCCCATCGCCTGGCCGCCTGATGGGCGGCAGCGTGCCCTCCCCGCCAGCTACCCGGCATGCTGGGCCTTTCTTTTGTCCACTCACACCTCTCTGTGTGTCGGCCTCGACAACACTTGGGCCCTGGCGAAAAAAAAACCCAACGAAAAACGAAACCGCCTCACCGCCCGACGCGCAGGCCTTCAACGTCACCGACGACGAGCACATGCCGTTCTGGGAGTTCAGCAACCGCATCCTGCGCAAGATGAACAAGCCGGAGATCGCCTACTACATGAACTTCCACCTGATCCTGTTTGTGGCCACCGTGGTCAACTTCTTTGTCCAGCTGCTGAAGCCGGTGGTCAAGCTGAATGTCACCTTCTCGCCGCACGTCGTGCGCCTGGTCGGCACCGATCACACCTACAACATCACCCGCGCCAAGAAGGAGCTCGGCTACCGCCCGCTGGTCTCCACCCAGGAGGGCATCGAGATCTGCCTGAACGCCATGAAGTTCTAAGGACGCACCCCCGAGCGAGCGAGCGAGCCAGCGGGAGAGCGGGCGACGAGGCGCATGGGGCAGGAGCCTCAGCAAGGTCGTTCTCCCCCAGCCCTTTCCCCTCTTTCGATGACCCCCTCCCATGTGTCCTCCCCCCTTCCTTTATTTTTCCCCTCCGAACATTGAATACATGGCCCCCCCATGCCCCCGGCCGAACTTGTGCACCCCCCCCCCCCCCCCTATGTGCCTGCCACATGCTTGTGTGTCGCACGCACACACCGACACACGCACGCACGCACGCACGCACGCACGCACGCACGCACGCACGCACGCACGCACGCACGCACACACACACACACACCGGCGGGGACAGGCACGCTTTTCATTCCGAGGTGTGGTCCTCTCGCTCGCCAGCGCGGGAGACACATGTCCGCGTTGGAGCGCGCATCCACATGCCACCCCCCGGGTGCGAGGTGGCCGATGAGGAGACCCCGGGCGACAGGCAGCGGCGGGCCATACAGGGGGCAGTGTGGCTAGGAGGGAGGCGGGGAGGCGGACAAGTAAGGCAGCATGGTTGGCGGCAGTCAACAGATTCGGCACCGGCAGGGGAGAGGGCCACGTCATGTGCCAGCACGCGCTTCCGGCCACCAGCCCAGAGCCGGGACATGTATATTCGGGATCGGGGTGGCTCTCTGTCACTGGTGATGCTGTCCGAGTGTCGGGCCGCCAGCGGCCACCGGCGCCGCAACAAGGGCATCCGCCAGGGCGCCCAGGCGGGCACTCGCCTCATCCGGGCTGGCAATGTGCCTGGTGCCTGGGTACAGGATCTCCAGGGCTGAGGGCATCCCGTGGCCCGGTGTGCGTCCGCCGGTGATGTCAGTGTGCAGGGGGACGCGCGATGTCGTTTGAGTGTCTGCTGTTCGTCTCTGGCGTCCCTTCTCTCTCTTGCACACACAGGCATAGACCGGCATACACAGGCATAGACCGGCATACACAGGCATAGACCGGCATTCACCGGCATTCACCGGCATTCACCGGCATACACCGGCATACACGGCTTCTGCCCGCCTAGCCCAAGACCCGCGCCCTCATTCACGCCCCCCTCCCCCCTGTCAAAGCATCACAAGCGCGCCCACAGGCACATACCCTTCACGGGGGGGAGTGTCCGCCCGGAGCGCTCCTTGATGACCATCCGGCAGACGCCGATCGCCACCACCCGGCCTCCGCTGATGAACTTATGCTCCAGGACAAACCACTTGTCATCGAAGGACCGGACGCGCGTGGTGGCCGTGTAAGCCGACCCGACCATGAGCTCCCGGCGGAAGACCATTGTCACACCGCCGTTGGCCACCTTCCAGCCATTGCGCCGCGCGGCGCCCAGCACCACCGGCAGCAAGAGGGCCGCCCGGCCGTAATCGGCAATCCGGCAGTAGGTTCTACAGTGCGGACCGAGAGCGGTCGCCGGAGCCGCGCGCGCGCGCGCGCGCGCACGCCCGTCCGAGTGGGCATTCGGCAGTGTCAGCATGTTGGCCCGTGCCCGTGCCCGTGCCCGTGCGGGCGAAAGAGCCCCCGGCGGCGAGGTGGGCAGGGCGTGCGGCAGGGGGATGGGGGCGAGGGGGAAGGCCCGTGCGCACGCACCCGTTGTTCATGTGGAAGTTGTAGTCCATGCTGTCGAAGCCGACCCGGTGGGACGTCGTGATAACTCGCCGGTGAAAGGGCACGGTCTTGCCCTGGATGCGGTGGTTCGGCCGGTGCCCGCCACCCGGGGCGCGTCCAATGGCAAGGTGCGTGTCGGATATCGGGCGGGGGTCAGCGGGGGCGCATGGGTGTGCCGAGTGTGCTGAGTGTGCTGAGTGTGTGCGTGTGTGTGTGTGTGTATGTGTGGGCTCGGACGGCCGGAGGCATGGCCCAGGCGCCGGGGCCACATACCGACAGGAGAGCCAGGATCTGGAACTTAGCCAGGACATAGAGCAGCTGGAAGTGATAGAAGTACGGGAAGCTCATGATGTGGAAGGGGACAGACACGAAGTAGACCACCAGGAACTGGTCCACGGGCCAGAACCCCACGAAGGAGGTGGCGCGCAGGTAGGCCTGGACAAGGCCCACCATCGCCGCAAAAAGGGATCCCATTGCACCGTGACACAGACAATGGGCGGGGAGGGGGGGGGGGGGGAAAAGAAAAGAAGAAAGAGCGAGGCGAGTGCAAGTCGAAGGGCGGAGGGGGAATGCGCCACAGGGAGGGAGCTACAAGGGGGGGCTGATGCTGCCCGAGACACAGGGGGGGCTGGTGCCGCGGCGGTGACTTTTCGGCATGCTGGTGGAGCTCGCGTCGTGAAGCCTCTCGGCCTCTCGCCGCGGGGCCGGTCCTTGCCCCTTGGCAAGACGACCGGCATGCGCCCGAGGCGGGCAGCACACACACACACACACACACACACACACACACACACACACACACACACACACACACACACACACACACACACACACACACAGCTCGCGCATGGCCGCAGGGGCTGCCAGCAGGGCGGGCTCGGGCCGCCGCCCCGGGCGCCCGAGCGGAGCCGCAGGACCACTCGCCCGGGGCGGGCATCTTCGAGATCCCCTGCCTGAAGGGGCTGCGGGGCCGGCGTACGGGCGCCAGCCAGGGCACAGGGGGAGATGGTGTGCTGCGTCACAGCGAGCATCTGCACCATGGGGCCCAGGGCGGCGCCTCTCCAAGGGGACGGACATCGTCAGTCCCAGTGGCCGGGAGATAGATAGGCGGGCCCGGGTGAGTCGGGGCCGCCTTTCCGGCTAGGCTGGCATAGGTTTGGGGCGATGCCCGAGACACCGGGGTGATTTTAGCCCGGCCCCTTGCGCATGAAAAAAGGGAGATATTGACCTCCACAGGGCGGCCCGATGGAGGCCGAAGCTCATGCGACGACCCCGGGGAGGATGAATGTACCGCGGCACCAGGGGGAAAGGGGGGGCGCCCCCTTGGCCCCGGCTCGGTGCGGCGGGCGACCCCACACGCCTGCTCGAAGCGCTGGGCGCATACCGGCGGCCACGGAGAGCCCTGCCCTGACTGTTGGAGCGCCATTGTCGCGGCTGGCCAAGCGGCCGGCGTCTCGATAGATCTGGCACATACACCTAGCCGGCTCCGGCTCCGGCTCCGGCTCCAGCTCCGGCTCCGGCCCCGGCCCCGGATCTGGCTCTGGCTCAGTTCGGGCTCGGGCACGGGCACGGGCTCTTGCCCCCCCCCCCCCCCC